TGGCTCAATACGTTTGTTGTTCAAGAAGGTTCCATTGCCTGAGCCAAGGTCAATGATGTAGGGTTTCACCCTTCGACCAACTGTGCCATCAGCACGAGTATATTCCACAAGCCTAGCAGAGAAAAAAGAGAGAAACCTGTAAGCAAAATCCTGACTCGGATCACCCGGTTTCTCTAAAGCTCTTTGGTAGGACAGCTTAGGTAAATAACCTGGCTTGAACACAGTTCAAGTTAAAACTCTAGGAAATCAAGAATTCAAGATGAAAGCATGGCCCTGGGTAGAGAAATTGGGAGTTTAAAATATACTTAATAGAAAAGGTGAGAACTGGTTGCTGAGGGATGGGGGGGCGGGCATCCATGGTAGATCAGAAGATTGAAATGTAGAATCCAAAGCCTCTTGCTGTGGTTAAGAAAATACATTTTTTTCCTGTTGTTTATAATCAATCTAATGCTTCTTTCACCAATATTTCAATATATTTTAGCTCCTGTCCAAATAGGAAAAAACAGTGGACTTGGACTTCAGAGTCAAGGGAGCTATATGTGAGCCAGAATTCTACTATGGTGATCATTTATTAGCCAAGTCACCTGGTGTTAACTGAGCTTCAGTTTTCTCACCTGTCAAATGGGGATATTAATACCTGTCCTACCTTCCTCACAGGATTGTTAATGAGAATCTAATGGTAACACATGCACCATGCAAGCTATCAAGATCCAGATTCAGCTAACACAAATGCCAGGCATTTTCAGTTATATTTCTACTTAACCCTCATAATAGCCTCGTGAAGTAGGTGCAAACTGAGGCCCAGAGAGTGACTTGTCCCAAGGTTAAGTGGCAGTGGCTAGATTCAAAATCTGGGTTTCTTACACCAAATTTAATGTTACCATACAAATGTAGGCAATTATTCAAAAAGCATACTCTTTAGGACTAACATTATATATGAGGGGTATGGGATTCTTCTGCATAAACATGTACGCAAATCTTGGTAATCCTGACTAACTGAGAAATTCAGTTTCTGCTCACATTTTAGTTTCTTCCTCCATATGTATACATACCGATACTGAAAGACCGCATGCTGCTTTGAACAAGACGGATGATCAATTGGAATGTCTGCAATGCGGCGGTGTCGACCCAGGAGGTACGCACTTT